CCCCCTCCCCCCCTCCCCCCTTTCTCTATCTCTGATACACACACACACAGAAAAAAAACGGTTATGAACAATATTCAAAAAGAGATACTTTTGTGTGTAATTTTGTATAGTGCAACACTTCGGGATTTAGTCAACAAGTTGTTTTGTAATTTTGCCTCAATTTTAAGCTAGTGGGAAAAGGTGAATACGATCTGTGGTTGAGTAGTAGTGCAGGAGGGTGTATGATTATGTGACCAGTGTAAGTGACAATCAGCAGTCACCTGGAGAATCTCTGGTGTTGTCTACGTGTGCATGAGGGGGAGGGATGGTGGAGAGACGGAAGGAGACATTTGTGATGGTGAGTCAGAAAGATGATATTTAGCGGGCGTTTGGACATAAGAATTGTAAAATTCCGAAAAAAGTGAATTTTTTTTCAAGTGAAATGGTATTTGAAAATTAGAGTTGTGTTTGGACATGAATATAATTTTGGTTTTTTTTGTATTTTTGTCAGTGATCTGAGTGAAAATTTTTAAATACAGCTTTTTGGAGTTTTTCAAATTTTCGAAAAATTCCAAAATTCATCTTCAAGTGAAAATTGGAAATTTTATGGCCAAACACTTATATCGAAAAAAGTGAAATTTTTTCGAAAAAAAGTGAAAAAATTTTAATGGCCAAACGGGCTCTAGAGTGAGCACATTTCGTTTGACTCCGTAGTTGGTTGAGACACTGAATCTGTTTGTAGTTCTCCACTTCTGTGTATAATTAGGATGAAAAGGAAGGATAAGTGTATCACATCTTGCATTCTTCTACTTTAGTATGAAAAACTTGACAGCTCTTTTTTATTTTTCCACTTATTCGTTATAGGAAATTGGAGTTTTCTTTTTCCATATAGTTGAACTATAAATGGAGAAAACAAAAAAGCTCTTCTGGTACTGAACAACACTAAATGATTTCTTATGATCTATTGTCTCTTATCTTCTACAGAAAACTTATTGTACTCTACCAGCAGCAGGACAAATAAGCTACTGCACTTATCTAGCTTAATAGTTGTAACATTTTTTCGTCCAATTGTTCCAATTTAATGAGCATTAAAATGTAATGCTATATTAAAAGGGGAAAAATGAAAAGAAAAGTAGATCTGCTGATAAAGATAAGTTGACAAATTGTTGGCAAAATTGACTACTACTCTAATTCTGTCCCAAAACTTGTCTGTTGTGACATGTTAATTTGACATAGAAATTATAAATCTTTAAAATGATAATACTAAACTTTTTTGTACTTGTATGGTTTTCCATTTTAGTTTGCAAAAATGACTGATCAAACCTGAGTTTGACATTTTTATGTCAAATAAAAGCCAAAATTGTTGGAATGTGGGAAGTAGTTTTCTTTGAAACTGAATTATGTTATTTTAGAGTGTATACCAGTGACTATTTGTTGGCAACTCTCCTATATGACCAAATGATTTGCACCTTCAAATGTAGACTTATGGATAGGAATGCATGCATACTTTCTGGATAGATTTTGAAACGATCTAGATGAATAACAAGAAACATTAGTGCTAGATGTAGATAGCCTCTAGTCTCGAATTTTCTTTAACAAACAAATTATTTAGTATTAGAATGAAATGACCCTTGATAGAGCGGAAGGATTCTTTCACTGCTTTCGTGAGGGGGGTTGCCAAAAAGGCATCTTTTGATGAAGTCCATCGTCATCCTACTCAACATCCTACTTGATCTTTTGCATGTAATATTAAATGCATAAGTAATTATTTCCCCGACACTATTTTAGAAATGGGTGTGGACCTCAATGCATTAGTTTCTATTAAGTGTCCCACATTAATTGAAAGAATGAGCTATTGTCTTCTTATATTGTCTTGGAAAATCTTCACCTCATGAGCTGACTTTTAGATTTTTAAGGGCTAAAGTCTTTTTTTAACATGATATCAGAGCAAAACCATCCCTATTACCGGTTTACCTAATGTTGGGCCATTATGTTATATTGTTCATGCATCAGACATTCAGTCCCAGACGTGCAGGGGGGTCTTAAGTGTTCCACATTGGTTGAGAGAATTAGCTTTTATCTCCTTATATATTCTTGGGCAAGTCTTACCTCATGAGCTAGTTTTTGGAATTAAGTTAGACCCAAGGTTCATTTTCATAACAGTTGCAAACTATCTGCATATCTTTATTAATTGGCAACTTAACAAGAAGGGGATGTGAGGTTTGGGCTTCCATGGTGTCTGTTTCAGTTTACACTTCCCTATGGAACCAGAGTCTCTTTGTCTCAAGGGAAATTGAACCTGTTGTTGTTAAAGGCGCGCTTAAGCCCTGAAGGGTGGCTCAAAACATGTTGAGCGCTTTGCCTCGCTTTGTGGGCGCCTCAATGTTGCATCAAGGCTCTAAGGCATACTTTTCCTTGCCAACGAGTGTAATCCTGAAAAAGCGACACTAAATAATTGATATTTCACTTTATCGTAATTTTTTTTTCAATTTCTTTGTCCATATATTTGTTATTCATGCTTATAATTATTGGTCTTAGACTACATATACATATTTTTACTCTTTCTCTAGTTGCACGTGTTTTCATTAAAGCCCACGCTTTATTTGCGCTTTGGGCTTGAAGCCCCAACGGATCTTGGAGCTTTTTTGCGCTTTTCGCATTTGATAACACTGTTATGATTGGATTAGATGTGCGCGAATAATCTCTGTGTTAATCTATTATATCTTGTTTGAGTCCTTAAAGACTATTCGATGTTATATTTTGTCCTTTATCCCTCTAGAGTGCCTTGAAGCAGGTAAAGACGTTCTTTCTGCTTTAGAAGGATACTAGAGCTTGTATGATTCACTTTTCTTAGCATTTGTGTTTATTTAATGCTTTTCCTTTGCTCATAATGTTCCAGTTACCTGATATCATTTTGATGAAGATTCAATATTGGAACTTCTATGTCACCCCCCTTCCCCCGCCTCTCCCCCCATCCTTAGGGTTAAGTTTTCCTTGTCATACAGCTAAAGTGGAATCCCTATAATCCCAACTAATTGAGGCTTTCCATTTCTCATAGAATTTAGACCCTTAAGAGTTTAGGATCTTGTGACCTGTGACCTATCTTGTCTAGGCACAAGTCCCTATCTTTGCTTTGATTTTCTTGTTGATGACTCAGAAATTTTGACTTTCTGTCTGATGAACGTGTCTAATGTTTTCAATATGAACCTTTACAGATGCTTCCTGTCTGAGGAAACTCAACATATTGCCAGCATTATAAGAAGCATCTTGCAATCTGCGGTGGATTTTCGATCTTGTCTGAGTGGAGACATTTCACAGGTAATTGTTAACATCTACATGTTTGTGTTCAGGAGGCATTTGTTGGTTTGAGAACTTTTTACAGATTGTTATCAAATAATTATTTGAGAAGTCAACTTGTAGGGTAATACTTAGTTCTTGATTCTGAATTTTCCGAGGATCTAGTACAGCAACAGCACTCATGCCTTGCATGCATACTTTGAATATTTTGTTGTGCATCTCCAAATTCACGTTCTCATTCTGTGGGTTTGGGGGAATGGCATGTCTGAAAATAAATCAACCTGGGAAAAAAGTTGCATTTAACATCCTCTAAGAGACTGGAGATAATAAACCAAATACAAAATATTATTGCTGTTTGCAGGTGCTTCACATAAGGAAATCATTATCTGAGAACATCAAAGAGTTGTATCTATGTTATCTTAAGTCGCCCAGACATGGAGAATTCGGCCTGTCATGTTTCTGGGAGCGTCTGAATTATAACGACCATTACTCAGAGGTTATTGGTAAACAGATGGGACACAAGGTCTTTCTCGTCTAAAAAACCAAGAATTGACTGCTGACTCGAATGAGGTAAGAAATTTTCAAGTACGACTCTAAAGGTAGGAAATGAACTACCTATTCCACCCAAGTTATTACATATTTTTGACTTCTATTGATCCCTTTCAGAAGAGTTTACATGGTCGTGACCAAGAAACCACTGGTTTCGCTTGGTGGGCCGGGAATGCCCCCATCAAGGAGATTATATGCAGAAGGAGAGTATTTTGTTTCAGGAGCTTGGATATGATCACGAGGTCAGATTTTCCACGAGCAATAGCATCTTGACATTGTGTGGGTGCATTTTGTTCGAAGGCTCGCTCATGCCAAACAAGCACAGATACATTAAATGTCGTGCATGTCTATATAAGATCCTTGAAAGCAGTAATCTATTTCAGGCGGATAATCTGGCTTCTGTATCTTGCTCGCAGACTTGCTACCTTTGGGTTCACATTATAGGATGTCGTTTAGGTCTGAATGAGTTTGAAAGTTTGGCTATATGTTGTGCATAAGTGAATTTAGCCTTTGTTGATAGCTCGGTTGAATTGTAATAGTAACTTCTTGCGGTTCACTTTGTGTATATTATGAATACAAGATTAAGGAAATTGGTTTTCCTGTTTGAGTATTTTGTATGAAATCACTAATTGCAAGAATACAGTCCACAGAAACATAATTTGCTTTATACTTTATGAAGGGACACTTGTCCTCTTGTTTTCTTGTACTGTTATTTCTTCTTTCCAGTGTTTCCAAACTAGGCCAAGAGCATAGTGTTTATATATCACTAGAAACGTCAATATACAAGATGCAAATTGGTCAAAATGAGACATTAGTAGAGAGAAGATGAGAAAGAAAAAAAAATTATAATTTAAGTGGTGCTCATTTTATGCAGTGTTGTCTCCCACTTGCTTTTCCATTTTTCTTAATCATTTATGTAACTTTTACGGTTTGTTATGTAAAGGAATTTCATCTTTGAATCGAACAGGCGAGTATGCACGATAAAGAAGGCTAAAGGTTAATCAAACCAAAATATTCACGATAAATACTGTTATTCCTTCTTTCCATAGTTTTCAAAGGTTTGTTAATATGCATTTTAATTTTAATTTATCACTTAACCACGATAAATACGTTATTGTCCGAATGCCGAGTGAAGGTAGGTATTTTCTGTACATTCGTGTAGGTAGCTTTATAGTTAGTATGCCTAAAGTTTTTCAAGGAGTTGGTATTAAATTCCTAATGTACTGCAATTGCCAATTGTATGCTAACTATTTTCTGGTAGTGTCTACTAAGCAGAGACTTGATTATATTATAGGCTTATAGAAAGGAAAATACATCCATTTCAAACAATTTATTGATAGCTTTAGCCCTAAGGAATACAAATCGGAGTCTGCAGGATTTGGAAAGAGAATTTTGCTAAAGTATTCATGTAAATTGAAACTTTATTCTTAAGATGATGAATGAGAGGACAATCATAGTAACAACGGGTATTGCTCCCTCCATTTCAAAAAGATTATCTTAGTTTGACCTGGCACAAACTTTAATAAAGAAGGTAATACTTTTGAGATATGTGGTTTTAAATAAGCCATAGCATTTGTATAATTGTGTGGCTGTAAAACTTTTAAAATTTGTGATCTGAAACTTGCCATAGCATTTGAGTGGCTATAAATGTTTCTTATTAAGAAAATATTAAAAGGTGCCAGTCTTGTTGAAACAAACGAATAAGGAAATAATGTCAATCTATTCTTAGCAAAGATCTAGTTTCTCCGGGTTTGATTATGTATTTATTCAATTTTTTTTTTGTTTAATAGCAAACAAATTTGCAAAATGAACTCCAATATGGACAAAGCAAACTGGAGCCACCTTTTACTTCAACTAAACAAAGAGTTAATCTAAACAAAACTATGCCTCGATCCCAATCAAGTCGTTTGGCAGAAAATTAACCTAGACGCAATGACAAAATTCTCTAGTCCTTTCCCTTTCACTTTTCAGTACGAGCCCAGTATTCTTTAACAAGCTCTCCAAATAATGAACTCTCTTTGTTTATCAGCTTCTTTGGCTCATCAAACTCAACCAACTTCCCTGGAAATCAAGAATGAGCAAATTGTAAGCTTCAAACATAAAAAAAGGGCAGCCCGCTGCGTTAAGCTCCCGCTATGCGCGGGTCAGGGGAAAGGCCGGACCACAAGGGTCTATCGTACGCAGCCTTACCACAAGGCTGTTTCCACGGTTCGTACCCGTGAACTCCTGGTTACATGGCAGCAACTTTACCGGTTACCTCCACTTCAAACATATTATGAAATAAATACTTCCTCTATTCCAAATGACGATTTGCAAGTGGATCATCTCACATAATTAGGGACAAAAGAAGTAATATTATTGGAATAATATAAGAACTCACCATCACTTATTGCTAAAACTTTTGTGTAATCCATTACTGTTGGAATTCTGTGAGCTACTGTTATAACTGTGCAGTCCGCGAATTCTAGTCTGATTATTTTCTGAAGAATTGCATCTGTTGCATTGTCAATGGATGCAGTTGCTTCATCTAGCACTAGAATTCTACTCCTCTTCAACAGTGCACGTCCGAGACAGAACAATTGTCGCTGTCCCATACTCCAGTTTGATCCATCTTGTAAAACTGCAATTTGCTCACAATACTATTGTTATCTTCTAGTACAAAAACCAGTAAAATTGGTTATATGATCTTTATATTGATGATCTACATTTTGATCTTTACCTGAGGAATCTAGTCCTGTTTCTTTTCCTTGAACAGCCTCTCTAAGCTGACACTTCTCAAGAACCTTCAACAAGAAAATTCTATTAGTAAATTAGAAGCAATTATCAAATTCTAGTAAACAATGAGATTAGATATATATAAAACGTATACCTTCCATATCTGATCATCACTATATTCTGACAAGGGATCTAGATTGTATCTAATAGAACCTGTAAAGAGTGTAGGATCTTGTGGAATAATTCCAATACGCGACCTAAGATCATGAAGCCTTATTGTTGCAATATCGCGATGATCAATGATGATTTTGCCATGTGTAGGTTCAACGAGGCGAAACAATGCACTGATAAGAGTTGTTTTCCCACTGCCTGTTCGGCCTACAACTCCAACCTTTTGTCCTCCTTCAAATGTACAACTTATACCTTGAAGAACTAATGGAGAATTCGGCCTGTACCTCACCTGTTTTAGAACAAACTTACAAAAGATCAGACGCTTTCATGAACTAGTTAACGATTCCTGCTACTGAAAACATACATTTAGGTCGCGAATTTCCACTTTGCCACGCGTAGGCCAACCAGGTAAAGGGTGGTTAATTTGAGCTACTTCAGTTGCTTCACTTGGTAGTCTCATGTATTGTTCTAACCTTTCTACAGAGATAATAGAGTTTGCTATTGTGCATTCACATTGAACAGACCAAATTAGGAATGCATTTAGTGATAGGCCATAGGAAAATGCCATTCCAATAAGTCCTGCCAACAACAAGGCTTAGTCTGAGATTTTCTGATAAGCACGAGTATTAGCCTTAGAAAACGTCGTGTATTAAAAAGCATAAACTGAACAAACCAGATACAGAAGAGCCTATGTGAAGCGACGTCATGCCAAGCATCCAGGAGGACATGATAACCGCGCACATTATCTCCAAACGTAGAATTAACCATTCAGTTGCTGAGAAAGTATGAAAAAATGGCCTTGCATTTTTATCAATAAACTCCAAGTTCTTGAAAAAGAAACGGCCTTCCTGTCCAAAAGATCTAATCGTCGTTATTCCTGAAATGCTTTCAGCTAAATGGTTGGCAACTAAAGACTTTGTTGTTCCATTTAATCTCATTAGCTCTTTTGCTGAAGCGTTGTAGTACCTCTGCATAATAAAAATGTGTAGATAAAATTACACGTAGTAAGAAAGAACAATTGATATCACGCTCCTATTACGATTATGAAGGTGTTATAAGACTTAAAAAGTTATAAAAATGTCTATCACCTGAACTAGTATAGTTACGTAAATCATAAGCACGATTACTAGGAGGACCTCTGGAGCAAGAAGGCATAAGATGACATAGGTAGAGTATAAAATTATGATTGATCCAACAGTAAAGTTTATTAAGAAAGGCAACTCAATGTCAACAGTGCTTAAATCTGAAGATACCTGCACAAAACAAATAGACAATCTTCAATAGTCAACCAATTAAAACTAACATATAAGTGTAGATTTGATTTGCAGTAGACATTTGTTCAGCCATTCTTACCCGACTAAGTATTCTTCCGAAAGGTGTTGAGTCAAAAAAAGACATTGGAGCAAAGAAAAGAGAGCTTGACAGTGTACAGAAAATCGATTTTGATGCACCAAGCCCGAGCTTTACTGTCAATAAGGATCTAAAAAGCAGAAAGAGTATTAAACTGAAACCAATGATTGTGTAGACAGTGATTAGCTTTAATATGCTAACACTGGAATCTTGAAGGCCAGTAGCCAGCTTGTAACTCTGTATATACTGTCCAACTACAAACATTGTGTGAACAATGACTGCCAAGGAGAAATACAAGAATCCCTTGTAATGCTTTAGATATTGAATGTATGGCTTCATTCCTGCGTCTCCTACTTCTCGTTCTTCTGCCTTGATTAATTGATCTCTTTTTAGAGAAACTACAGCACATTCGTCGGAGGAAACATTATTGATCTCTATTTCAGCAGCTTTAGGCCTTTTAGAAGCATAAATTTCTTCACGTTTAAGACCGGGAGGAGTTTTTTGTGCGTTGACGAGTTCCTGAAACTCCTCACTTTGTGACAGCAATTCATCAAAGGTACCAGATTTCAGGATCTTCCCACTAGATATTAGCTGTGAAATCGAAAGAGACCTAGTTAAAATCTTTAATTTTTCCAAGGGCTAAATAAATAAATTTGTTGCAACCTTGTTGGATTTCTGCTTTTTTAAAATCAAGATGGATAAAGATTACTACTGAAATACATTACATGAGAGATTAAATGGAAAGTTACAAGAGAATACAAATAGAATTAATAGAGTTTTTGAATGAGGTTACTAACCAAAATTGAATCAAATGTCGGAAGAAATTCAACTTGGTTTGTTACCAACAGCACAGTTTTTCCTGATAAAGCTCCCATGATATAATCCTGCCAAATCAAATGCGGAAAGTTGAGTGAAAATTTTCAACTGCATAAGGTTTGCAAAGGAAGCCAATTGAGAAAGACTAGGTTTTGAATTATAAGTACATTAAATAGATTAGTTGAGGTATGTGCGTCTACAGCACTAAATGGATCATCCAAGAGGTAAATATCTGCATCCTGATAAAGGGCGCGAGCTAGTTGAACCCTTTGCTTTTGGCCTCCACTCAAATTGTTACCTCTTTCTCCTATCTCAGTAAGATCACCAAATGGAAGCATCTCCAAATCTTTCACTAGTGAACTCTTTACTAGTGCTTGTCGATACCTCTGTGGTTCCATATTGGATCCAAATAATATGTTTTCTTTTACGGTTCCTGTCTGAATCCATGCTGTCTGAGAAACATAAGCGATCTTTCCATAAACCTTAACCTACAAAATACAGTAACATTTTCTGGTTACGCCTATACTGCATTATTGCACCAAATCAAATAGGTAGACAAAACAATATACAAAAGACTTACAGTGCCATTGATGTATGGAACTTCTCCAAGAATGAGAGACATTAGCGTAGATTTCCCTGAGCCGACTTCACCACAAACAGCCACTTTTTCACCATGTTTTATCTCCAGATTTATGTCCCTTAATGCGGGATTTAAAAAATTCATCTCCCAAGAAACATCGGTGCAATTTATATAAATATTCAAATCATCCGGAGTTTGCTTCATGTGATCCCTTCTAACCATGTCAGGTTCCTCTAAAAATTTCACAATCCTTGACAGCGAAACCTTTGCTTCAATAAATGCCCCGACAACATCAGGGATTCTTCTAATGGGATCTTGAAGCAGATTTAAAGAGGCTAGAAATGTGAAAACATTGCTGACATTGAGAGGAACTCCAAACAAGTAACAAGCTACAAAAGTGGCAGATGAGACCAGAGTGGGAGATGACCAAAACAGGATAAGGTAGTATCCTTTTTGTGTTTGAACTAATGATAGCCACTTGGTTTCCTCAGATCTCAACTTGTTTATCTCATTCAAGAAATGTTTCTCCCAAGAATATAACTTGAGAACCTTCATATGTGTAAGCGCTTCTGTGATGGCCTTTAGCCTTTTATCTTGCGCGATCATGAGGTTAATCTGATACTTAAGCTGGAACTTGGCTAATGGGGAGTTAACTAATACAATTAATATCACAATCACTAATGCTGCTGATGCAGCTACCCCTATAGAATAGTATATTACACATAAAACTAGTACGAGCTGAAGAATTGTCGTCCATATCTGATGAAACCAAAAGGGGAACTCGCCTATT